TTTTTTTTTTTTCTGTTGTGGGGGGGGGGGGAACAAGATGGGGTTTGTGTCTGGCTACAGAGGGTTAACATCATTACTACCTGCTGCCAAGTGCTTCAGAGTGAGGAACAACAGTGTCCTCTCTGCTCCTGGCTCAGCTTCTCCCAGTTCACACAGGTCTTAGAAAAGCATTTGGCCTACTTGCTTACTCAAAAGTGTATCACATAGTTGACACTAGGGTTGCCAGATGGTTGAAACAACACTACCAAACACCCCCCCCCCCCCAAAAAAAAAAAACACTTGGAAAAAATTATGTTGAAGGAGGGGAAAAAGGGGGAGGAGGAAGAGACCAAAGTTGTTGAGAAGAAAAAAAAGGACTCCAAGGACTTAAGCCCAAAAATAAATAAATAAATAAATAAAACAGCATGTCCCCTTTAAGAGTGAGTGCAGGGATAGGAACAGGGGAGTGGTTGAGCACTAAGACCCAGGGGAAGCATTGCTTCCCCTAGGTCTTTTGGCTGGCAGCCATTTTGTACTGGCAGCCTTGAAGAACCAGGTAAATATGGGTGCTGGGGTCAAGGGGCTGAGGGTGTTGGCGGCCAGGGCACAGACTCAGGGGGCACTGAGTGTTTGTAGGGTTGCTGGTTGCCTGGCATTTTCGCCTCCTGGCCAGGAAAAATTCAGAAAATACCAGACATTTTAGGTGTCTGGTATTCTCTGAATTTTTTTACCGGACAGGAGGTGAAAATACCGGATTGTCTAGGTGAATACCGGACACCTGGCAACCCTAGTCAACACACTTGCCGAATAGTTGCCTGTCCCCTCTTCCCCCCCCCCCCCCATGGCCTCTATCACAAAGAGGCTGCAAGGGGTGTAAGAGGAGAGGGTGCTGGAGGAAGCTAGCTTAAAAGCCAGTTCTTCTTCGAGTGCTTGCTTATGTCCATTCCAGTAGGTAGGTGTGCGCGCACTGCGTGCATGGTCGTCGGAACTTTTTTACCCTTAGCAGCACCCATTGGACCAGTTGGGGAGCCCCGTAGAGTGGCACCAGCATAGCCACGCATATATACCCCTGCTGGCTCCAACCCCACTCAGTTCCTTCTTACCGCCCGTGATGGTGAACCGGAACGTTGGTCTTGCTCTGAGAGACTGCCCTTAGCGTTAGCTTATCTTCTGTAAATAGTTATCTTTGTTAAGTGTTTTCTTCCTTATTCATTAGTTAGGTGTTAGTATCTTCCCTCTGTGGAAGCAGGCTCTTTGCTGGCCAGGCCTCTCGCGCGTATTGCCATCCAAGCAAAAGGTCAACTTCCCCTTGATGAAAACCCTTACACTATGTAACTTAAAGGTCAGCGACGAACAGGAACCAAAACCAGACCTAAAAAGTTAATGTAAAGTTCGTGCTGGTTGTGCTGACTGTGCCATGCCCGATAAGGCAGAAAAGGAAAAACAGAAAACCATCTCACCCCCTTACCCCTGTCACTTAGCAGACAGGGTCTGCTAGCCTATCACAAAAAGTGCGCAAAAGCTCTCTATAAAACAGCTACCCTCCTATATCAATCACTTAACAGACAGGGTCTGCTAGCCTATCACAAAAAGCGCGCAAAAGCTTTCTCTATAAAACAGCTTCCCCTCCTGTATCAAATTGAGGAATCCCGAATAAACATTGGATGGCGGAATATGAGCCAGGTCCGAGGACTGATCACCCGAGGGCCACCTCCCGCTCACCGAACCAAACGAGCGTAACGTATACCAAATATAACGAATACCAAATATGTTGTTGTTGTAGTTTGTGTCTGTTAAATGTAAGTATTGTTATCTGAAATTGTTTAGAAGTATTAAGTAGTAGTGTTAAAAGTTTTAGATAAATGATTAGTCTTATAAGTAAGACTGATGTAAATGTAACTGTTAATAAAGCCTAGTCTCTTGTTGACAACTATTGGGATTTAGAGAAATCTCAAAGAATTTTCTTCACTGTATTGCATTTTGCTTATTGGACATTCTAATAATTATTTAGTGCCTACGTATTTAAGAAATTGATAAAATCATAATTTATACGTAGAAGCCCTTTAATAAAAGTTTAAAAGATATTTAGCAATAGTTTGCCTGTTTCTGCGCCTCCCTGGGACTAGCCACACTTCCGAACCTTCTACTTTAAACCACACCCTCCTCCCCTGCACTGTGCAGGGGAGGAGGGTATGCCGGGGCCTCAGGGCTTCAAACCCTGCAGACGTTGCTCTAAACTGATGCCCCAAGGTGACCCTCGCAAGGACTGTCTAAAGTGTTTAGGTGAGGGTCATCTTACTGATTCTTGCAAGATGTGAAAGTCTTTCAAGCCCCGAACTAAGAGGGAGCGGAACTCGAGACTGAAACTGTTGCTCATGGAGTCCGCACTCCAACCCCAGGTACCGGAGGCCGCGTCGGTGCGGGAAGTTGGGCACCAGGGGAAGCACGCCTCAGCACGGGAGCACCGGTCGGCACCGCAGCACCGGTCCCAGGTCCCCGCCCCGCGTGCACATAAGAAGGTGCGCAAGGACAGGTCCCCCTCGCGTAGAGGGGAGGCGCACCAGAGGAGTGGGCCCCTGAGCCCTCCAGCACCAGAGCAAAGCCACAGGGGGTTGAGCCCTCGCAGAGAGAGCAGCTCTGAGTCCCCGGACCTGTCTGTGGAGGAGGGCCATCTGCCACTGACACCAGAGACATTCCTGGAGGCTCAAGAGCTTATTGAGCTCATGGCGTCCCCAGGGCCGGTACCGCGTGGTGCACAAGCCCATCCCAGACAAGACGCACAGTCAGCACTGTCTACAATGGCACCGAGTGTCTCAGTGCTGCAGCTCCCGGCACCGCAAGCTGTGGCACCAACCCATATGATGCCGATATCGGCTCAGCCAGCACCAGTGCAACCAGTACCCCCGGCACCGACACCGCTGGGGTTAGCACCAGATACTCCAGTAGGCCGCAGAGGTACAGCCCTCGGCACCGATTGAGGTCTCGGCACCACTCGAGCTCGAAGCATGGAGACCGGTCTCATTGCTCTGTGGAGGTCCAAACCTGGCCTCCCCGGTGGCAGCCTCCGCAGCAATGGCCTTTCTGGACCCCCTGGGCATACCACCAGGCCCAGGGGCCAGAGTCGACGAGGCCAGGGTTGGTTATGGACCGCAGAGGTACAGCCCTCGGCACCGATTGAGGTCTCGGCACCACTCGAGCTCGAAGCATGGAGACCGGTCTCATTGCTCTGTGGAGGTCCAAACCTGGCCTCCCCGGTGGCAGCCTCCGCAGCAATGGCCTTTCTGGACCCCCTGGGCATACCACCAGGCCCAGGGGCCAGAGTCGACGAGGCCAGGGTTGGTTATGGACTCTTCTCGCTCAGGGCATAGGGCAGCCCCCTCGGTGACCCCACTGGTTAGGGACCCGGGGTCAGAGGGCAGACTCTCCCTGTCGGGCATGGCGAGGATTGAGGCCCCCTCGCAACAGCCACGTACACCAGCCCAGATGGTTGCCCAGGCAATACTGCAACATCCGCCTGGTTCTGTGGAGGTGCTCCCCCAGATACAATTGGAGACAAGGGATTTGTCCTCCTCCCCGCCCAATGAGGCCTTGGGGGACCCAGCACCGGTGATGCCAGCCATGGACGCGAGAGCCCACCAAG